CTCAACCTGTGCATTTTCCATATAAACAATGTGCATTTCTCTATATTAGTACAGGACTTCCAGTGCAGTGCTGTAGGATCAGCAATGGACTGCAAACCACAAGGACAGCAGTTCAAACCCACCAGCTGATCCTAGGAAACTCTGGATCTGGTCAGCATGAGTTGGAACCAGCATGATAGCATTTAACAACAACAACAACATCTTAATACAATATGGTTTAGTGTGGAATCTACTTGTGAAATGCTAACAAATTTAAAATTTATAAAGAACATATACAAACATTAAAAGAATATTTGCAATTCAATAATAAAAAGAGAAACAAGATAATTAGATTGATAAAAAATTGTGACATCTCTTTTCAAAAGAGAATATACAAATGGCCCATAAACATGTGAAAAGATGTTCAACATCTTCAATTATCAGGGACATGCAAGTTCAACCCACAATGACACAATCTTCAATTATCAGAGACATGCAAGTTCAACCCACAATGAGACACAATCTCACACCAATTATAATGGATAAAGTTACAAAGATTAGCACTATCAAATGTTGGAGTCCTGGTGTGGGACTATATGATAAGCAATTTTCCTATAGACCCTTAGAAACCCCACACAAGGTCACTATCAGTTAGAACTGACTTAATAACACAAAACAACAACAATCAAATGTTAGTAATAAGGTAGAGATGCGGGAACTCTATACATTCCTGGTAGGAATGTAAAATGGTACAACCACTGGGGAAAAAGAATGACAGCTTCTTATAAAATCAAGTATATATTCATATTTATTAGCTGGCTAAGCATTTTTATGCTTAGATATTTGCCAAAGAGAAATAAAGACACATCCACACAAAGACCTGTAGTGAATGTTTGTAACAATATTATTCATAAAAGCCCAAAAATAATTAGAAATAACTCAATGTGCATAAATTACTGAATGTACAAATTGTATTATATTGCACTATAGAACAATGCCAATAAGAAGGAACAAAATAATAGCAGATGTGACAACATGGATAAAATATTATGCTAAAGAAAGATGTCAAACACAGAAGACCACGCTGGGTGTGATTTCAGTTATATAAAATTCTAGAACAGACAAAACTATAGTGTCAAAGCAGATTGATGGTGGCTAGGGTATGGTAGTAAGAATAGATTGCAAAATGGCATTAGTAAAACTTCCCGAATCCTGGAACAATCTTGTATGTCAATTGGAATAATGGTAACACAATTATGTATAATTACAAAAACTTGAACATTTACACTTTAGGTTATTAACATTTTAATTTATGTATGAACCTCATCAGAAGAATTGCACAGGTATTAAATTGATTACATCTGTGGGAAAAGGAAGTGGAAAAGTTCAGTAATATCAGTCAAAACAAGGCCAGAGGCCAACTGTGGAATAGACTCTCAATTGCTGTAACTGAAAAAACTTAAAACAAGTTCCTAAGAGCTAAAATATGACCTTGAGTATGTTGTTGTTATTGTTAAATTCCAAAGCATAGTGACCCTTCATAGGGTTTATAAGGCTGTAAATCTGCAGAAGCAGAAAACCTCATCTATCTCCCTTAATAGTAGTTGGTGGGCTCAAACCACTGACCTTGTGGTTTGCAATACAGTGTCTATCCTACAAAACTACCGTGCGCTCCAATCATGAGTGTATCCTGCCTGAACTTAGAGACAATCTCAATAAATGTTTTGATGCATTAGGCACCAATGACTAAAAACCATAAGAGTTGTGGGATGGCATCAAGAACATCATACAGGAAGAAAACAAAAGGCAATTAAAAAGGCAGGAAAGAAAGAAAAGACCAAAATAAATGTCCGAAAAGACTCCGAAACTTGTTCTTGAATGTAGAGAAGCTAAAGTGGCTATAAGAAATTATGTAAAAGGGATAAACAGAAAATCTCAAAGGACAACTCAAAAAGACAGGGATAAAGTTTTATAATGAGTATGCAAAAAACCTGGAGTTAGTAAATCAAAAGGGAGAATATCCGTAGCATTTCTCAAGCTGAAAGAATTGAAGAAAAAATTTGATATTAAAATATTGCAGGATCTTATGGACAAAATATTGAATAACTCAAGAAGTATCAAAAGAAGGAATATACAATAAATGTACCAAAAGTAATTGGTCAATATTCAATCATTTCATCATTTCAAGAGGTAGCATATGATCAAGAACTGATAGTATCTAAGGAAGCAGTCCAAGCTGAACTGAAAGCATTGGAATAAATAAATAAATACATAAAAAGGCTTCAGGAGTTGATGGAACGCAAAACTGAAAGGTTTTAACAAACTGATGTGGTGCTTGAAGTCCTCACTCATCTAAGAAATTTGAAGTCAGCTATTGGGCCAGTCGATTGAAACAGATTCATATTTGTGCTCATTACAAAGAATGGTGACACAACAGAATGTGGAAATTAACAAACAATGTAATTAATGTCACATGCAAGTAAACTGTTGCTGAAATTAAAACAAAAATGTCTGCAACGGTATAATCGGGGTTCTGTCAGAAATACAATTCAGATTCAAAAGAGGAAATGAAGTGAGGGATATCATTAATGACATCAGTTGGATCTTAGCTGAAAGCAGAGACTACCAGAAAGATGTTTACTTGTGCTTTATTGATTATTGAAAGACTTTTGACTCTGTGAATCATGACAAACTATGGATGACCTTGAAAAGAATGGGTATTTCAGACCACTTAATTGTGCTCATGCATAACCTGTACATAGACATAGACCAAGTGGCAGCCATTCAAACCAAACATTTGAATCATTTGAAATCAGGAAAGGCTGTGTGCCAGCGATACATTTGTTCACCATATTTATACAATCTATCTTGGTGTGGTGCTGTAAGATAAGCACTGGTCTGCAAGTTCAGTTTGAACTGCAACATTGACAGTTCAAACCCACCAACCACTCTCTGGAAACCCTATACAGGGTCTCTATGAGTCAGAACCAACTCAATGACACTTTAAAACAACAACAAAAATTCAGTCTGTATAACAAGCAAATAATCCAAGAAGTTGGATTATATGAAGAAGAATGTGACATTAAGATTGGAGGTAGACTGTTGATGACTTCATTTTGCTTGGATCCATAATCAAAGATCAATGAAGCAGCAGTCAAGAAAGCAAATGACATATCTCATTAAGCAAATCTGCTGCAAAACATAAACAAAATAAAAAAAACTCTTGAAAGATTTAAGGAGCAAAGATATAAATTTAAGGACTAAAGTGCATCTGACCCAAGCCAGAGTATTGTCATTCATATCATATGAATGTAAAAGTTCGACAATGAGTAAGGAACCAATGCAGATGAATCAATGCATTTGAATTATGGTTTTAGAGAAAAATACTAAAAGCATCATCGGCTGCCAGAAAAACAAACTAGTCTGTATTGGAAGGAATACAGCCAGAAAACTCCTTACAGGTCAGGTGGCAAGACTTCATTTCTCATATTTTGGACACGTTATCAGAAAGATAAATGATATCACTAGAGAAGGGTACATTGGTAGGTATGGTTTAGGATCAGCAAAATAGAATACACTCAATGAGATGAATTGACAGTGACAGCCGAAATTAACTCAAACTTAGCATTGATTGTAGGGATGAGACATAACTGGGCAGTGTTTCATTCTGTTGAGCATAAGGTCACTATAAGTTGAAACTGGTTTGAAGGTACGTAACAACAACAAAATATTCCGTGCAGCCTTAGTGTGTCATGTAAGATAGAAAATGGACTGCTAATTGCAGGGTTGGCAGTTCAAATTTATCAGCAGCGCCTCAGAAACTCTATACAGGGTCACTTTGAGTCTGAACCAACTGGAAGACTCTTAACAACAGCATAAAGTATTACCTTATATCTTTCTGACCCTGAAACTGATTTTCACTTGCTATTTATCATCATGTTTGCATTGTTTTTTTCCTATAGTAGAGTTAAGAAGGAAATAAAATGTTTCCTATATTTTGATGAATAAAAATCTCAATACTGTAGATTACTGACTTGTTTTTGTAGCTGTGGAGACCCATCTCCTATATCCAGAGTAACTTTTATTGTATAGTGTGTATAACTCTCTGTTGTAGTCACTTCACCTTCAATTCATTGGTTTTTACCCAGTAAACAGAAGAACCTTCCAGCAATATTATTCTGTTTTTGTTCATAGTGGCATTTAATACAATTCTCCTGAGACAATAAACTAATATAATTATAAAATGTAGTCATTACTTCCATTGTTGTGGTTGCTAAGTGCCATTGAGTCACAACTGACCTATAGCAACCCTGTAGAGGGTTTCCAAGGAGTGGCTAGTGAGCTTAAACTGCTGACCTTGTGGTCCAAATGATGTTGCAGTCTAGCACATTTACCCACAGCACCATACCATGATTCATTACTTGCATTAATGGGACCAAATTTTAGACAGAGTGTTTGGCAAAAACCAAACCAAAACAAAACAATTATTTTTTTTGGTTTTGTTTTGGTTTCTAATTCTGCCAAGAAAAATAAAATGATTTAACGATGTGGGGAAATCTGTCTGTCATTTAACTCAATAGTATGTTCCCTGAAATCAGAAATGAATCAGTTATTCCCTCAAATGGCCTCGGTTCCCTGATAATACTAATCTTTACTTAGAGACTATCTCAGTATCTGACATTTCAGATTTATGAAATTAATAAAAAATCTACTTAAATCACCTTAAAACTTTAAAGTTAAGAAAGGACTCATGTGCTTTGAGTGAGAGTTTTTTGTTGAGCCCTGAGTCCTTGATTCTTCCTATGTTATCCCTCTTCCCATTGCAGTTCACTGCACTGAAGTAATGTCATTTGGACATAATGTCATTGGAGGTGAAAGGTTAAAAGAGAGAGAGAGAAAAAAAAAACAACAACACACAAATAATGCAGATGCCTTTGCCATTAACCTACACATGTGCTTCAAGGTCTCTGAATTTCCAATCAGGTTCACAGGAAGGCATCAGGAGAGTTCAGAGAACTCTGTCACAAATCCGGAGATTCCTTGTTGCACCTTTGACAATGCTGGGGCTTGTCTTCCCAGTTGGGTGGAGATTCCTGTGGAAAACAAGAACTCCAAGTAAGTAGGGTAATGTGGGTTCTGATTCAATCAACTCTGCCTGTGGTTTGAAACAGCAAAAGCTTACTCATTTGCCTGAAGTAGATAATGATATCAAGGTGTGGAGACACGCAAGCTCCAGAAGGTGGCTTCAGATGAGGGAGAAACTGCAAAGCCCCTGCTAAAATGACTCCTAGAGGCTGAAGATTTTTGTATAACGATCGGATCTTTGGAAACAAACTATGTGGATAAGTGAAGAGTGGGTATACTTCTCATTGTGTTATCCTCATGACCTTTTGAATGTTACTCTTGTGTTTGAGAAGACATTTCATTTATATAACAGGACCCATTGTTAAAAAGGAGTCCTGGTGTGGCGCTGTGGGCTAATGCATCAGACTACAAAGTTATTTGAACTGTAAGGTCGGTGGTACAAACTCACCAGCTGCTCTTTGGAAACCTTCTACAGGGTCTCTATGGGTTGGACTCAACTTGACAGCACTTAACAACAACAACATTGTGAAAAAAAAGAGAAGACTTTGCCCCTTGTGTATACTACATATTCATACTTGCTGCCATGAGTTGATTTTGACTCATAGTGACCCTGTATATGGTTTCTAATGCTGTACTTCTTAACACGTGTAGAAAGCCTCTTTTTTCTTACTTGGAGCGATTGGTAAGTTTGAACTGCTAACCTTGTGGTTAGCAGTCCAGTGTTAACATACAGAACCACCAGCGCTCCTTTACCTCTAATATAAGACTGCTAAGTTTTTATTCCAACTTCCCAGTGAATGGAGAAGTCATAATTTTTTACTAGGAGATTCCAATAACCACAGGGATATCATATATTTGGATTACTGGTGTGATGTTGTAGGATCAGCACTGGACTGTGAACCACAAGGTCAGCAGTTCAAACCTACCAGCTGCTCTTTGAAAACCCTATACAAAGTTGCTGTGCATTAGAATTGACCAGACAGTACTTAACAACAACAATAATCATGTATTTACCTATTACAACCCATACAAAATCTACATACTAGTTCTCTAAGATTTCTGTCCAATTTTGTTTTCCTGCCTTTCTTTTCTTCACCTGGGTTGTTGTTGTTGTTGTTAAGTGTCTTTGAGTCCGTTCTGACTCATAGCTACCCTGTATAGGGCTTCTAAGGAGCAGCTGGTGCATTTGAACCACAGACCTTGGATTACTGGCCTCAAAATGCTTCCTGATTCTTTTTCTTTCATGGGAGCTTTTCCAGCCAAACTTTGAATTTCACTCATTTCCTTACTGTGTTGTTCCTTCTTACTCTCTTGCTGCAAAGCAGCTTCACTGCTCATTCCCTTTTCCTTCTCTTCTAATTGGTTTTAAAGTTTCTTGAAAAAAGAGAAAATGAAAAATTTCATAGCTTTACATTTGTATTTAAACTCTTAGAAATATGACTATTTAGGGAGAAATGTGAAAAATTTCCTTATCTACATTTTTGTTTTCATTCAGCACACCTTAATATTTTGTGTCTGTACCACTAAAAGTGTAAATAAAACATTTGGTTTGGGTAATGGCATTTAAAATCAAAGATTATAAATTACCTTCTGGTCATAGGTATCAAATCCATAATCAGTAATAAAGCTGTATTCCTTAATTACTTTGCTTTTACCATCTGCCAAGGAATACATTAAAGAACCTAGTAAACAAAAGGAGTGAATTGGAAACCCTGACTGAAATTCTAGTGAAATACCCGTAGGAGTTTTCTTTTGCAATAAATGACATTACTTCAGTGCAAGATTTGAGGTAAAGAGAAGGAAATGTAACTGTCAAGGAAGATTGAAAAGCAGATCTGTAATGGATGTAAGGCAAACTTCAGCAATTGCTTTCAAGTCTTCTTAATTGTTAACTCTTTGACTATAACACAGCATTAGTAAGCTTACATCTCTGTGTATAATTGCATACATTAAAAAAAGATGTTATATTAAAATCAGCTACATTTTGAAATAGAAATGCTTCCATTCAGTAGTAAGATATAAAAATCTGGCAAAATTTTATGGCCGTAACTATTGAGTTGGGAATTTTGAAGTATATATTTATGCCTGAGACCGTTTTTCTATGCTTGGGCAATACAATGTTTTGCATCATTTTGAGGGACATAGAATATTTGAACTGGAAGGTTTTTGGAAATCATTCAGTCCAAGAATACAGGTATAAGTTAAAAAAAAATTATGAAAAGTGTAAAATCAGAATCTAGGGCACTTTTTTGAAGAGTCAATTGTTGTTTAACATTGTTAGAGCTAGTAGAGGATAATACCAATCCAAAAATAAAAAGAAATACCTTGGATATAAAATCATAGAATTTTGAATTTAACAGAGAAAACATTAATAAAGGCAGCATTCATTTAAATAAACATTTAGTCCATGATGTATACTATTATAATTACTTAGACACTTGCCAAGTATTATGAATGGGGTTGGCAGCACTTCTCACTAATCAAACTGATTTTTGAAGGACAATTTTAATTGTGTTAGACAGTGTGGTTATTACTATTAAGCATCTGAATTTTAGTAATCTAGATTTATCTAACTTTTACAAGGTATGCATCATTAATAATTCAACCAACAGATTAAGAAATTTTAGTTTTAGGAATTCAAAGTTTCTAATTTTTGGATCAATTTAAAAACATCTTATTAAGTGTGCATTTGTTATTTGAATGAATGGTGTTTTTAGAATAATGATAGTCACAAAATGTTATCTTTTTATTAAGTAGTGTGCTATTATATTCTAACACTGTTTCTTGTGGAAATTCTAACATTAATTCCTGTTGAAGTCTTACTTGATAATACTGGGAAACTGGAAATAATAAATGGGATGTTTCATGGTTGAAGAGTGGATGCTCTTAAGATAAATGAAACTAAGAAATAGCATTCTAAGCATCTTTATATTTTTTTATTAATGTGGAAATTGACAAACATTTAGTAATAACATAGTCTGAGACACTTAAAAAGTTCCCATATAAACCAGTGATAGGTTTAACAAATATATTAAATTATCATTTATAATATTAAAGGCAAAGTACCTGGGGCTACAAAAGCAGCTTTTGGCTGCTTTCAAAAAGCTTGGTGGTTTGAGGCCATCCCCCAAATCAGTCACTGAAAACCCCATAAAAGACAGTTCTGCTCGGACATCCATGGGGCTAACATGAGTCAGAATAGATTTGAAGGTAACTTGTCATTGGTATACTCAAACAGTGAAGTAGATAACATAGATAGCAAAAAGTTAAAGTGAAGAACATGAAGAATGGGGTATTTTAATCTTTTCAGTATTCACAATGTCACAAAAGCAGTGGTGTATCTTGGTTGTTGTTGTTGTTGTTGTTGTTGTTAGGTGCCATCAAGTCAATACCAACTCATAATGACCTCATGTACAACAGAACGAAACACTGTCCAATCCTGGACTAACCTCACAAGTGTTGCTATGTTTGAGCATGTTGACGCTGCCACTTTGCCAATCCATCTCACTCGGTGTCTTCCTCTTTTTCTCCAGTCCTCCACCTTACCAAACATGATCCTCTTCTTCAGTGACTGTTCTCTCCTGGCAATGTGTCCTAAGTATGAGACATGCAGTCTGGCCATCCTGGCTTCCAAGCAGCACTCTGGTTGTACTTCTTCCAAAAGAGGTCTGTTTGTTCTTTTGGCAGTCCATGGTCTTTTTATATTCTTCTCCATAACTCAAATGCATCAATTCTTCCACTGTCTTCCTTATTCACTGTCCAGCTTTCGTATGCATATGAGGTTACTGAAAATACCGTGGTGTCTTGGGTCAGGTGCACCTTAGTCCTCAAACTAATATTTTTGTTCTTCAACACTTTAAAGAGGTCTTTTGCAGCAGATTAGCCTAATGCAATGCATCATTTGATTTCTTGACTGTTGCTTCCATAAGCGTTGATGGTTGATCCAAGCAAAATGAAGTCTTTGACAACTTCAATGTTTTCTCCATTGATAAGAATGTTGTTTATTTGACCAGTGGTGAGGATTTTTGTTTTCTTTACCTTGAGATGCAATCCATACTGAAAGCTGTGGTCTTTGATCTTCATCAGTAAATGTTTAAAGTCCTCTTGACTTTTAGTAAGCAAGTTGTATCACCAGTAGCAGGTTGCTAACGAGATTTCCTCCAATCCTGATGCCACGTTTTTCTTCATGTAACCAAACTTCTTGGATTATTTGCTCAGCATACAGGTTGAATAAATATGGTGAAAGAATACAACCCTGTCACATGCCTTTCCAAATTTTAAACCATTCGGTGTTCCCATATTCTGTTCCAACAACTGCCTCTTGGTCTATGTACAGGTTCCTCATGAGCACAATTAAGTTTTCCGGAATACTCATACTTTGCAATGTTGTCCATAACTAGTCATGATCCACACAAACACCTTTGTGTACTCAACACAGCACAAGTAAACATCTTTCTGGTATTCTCTCTACTTTCAGTCAAGATCCATCTGACGTCAGCAATGATATCCTTCATTCTACATCCTCTTCTGAATCTGGCTTGAACCTCTGGAAGTTCTCTGCTAATGTATGGTTGCAGCCATTCCTATATTACCTTTAGTAAAACTTTACTCGCATGGGATATCAGAGTTATTGTCCAATGATTGCCTTATTCCATTGGGTCACCTCTTGTTGGAACGGGCACAAATATGGATCTATTCCAATTAGTTGGCCAGGTAGTTGTCCTCCAATGTCTTGGTATAGATGATGAGTACCTCCAGTTCCACCTCACTTTGTTGAAATATTTCAACTTGTATTCCATTAATTTCCAGTGCCTTGTTCTTTGTCAAAGCTTTCAATGCACCTTGAACTTCATCTTTCAGGATCATTGGCTCTTGATCATCTGCTACCTCTTGAAAAGGTTGTACATGGACCATTTCATTTTGGTACAGTGACTCTGTATATTCCTTCCATTTATTTTGATGCTTTCTGAATCATTCAATAATTTGCCCATAGAATCCTTCAGCACCACAAATCAAAGCTTGAATTTTTTCTTCATTTCCTTCAGCTTGAGAAACGCTGGGCATGCTCTTCCTTTTTGGTTTTCTAACCCCAGGTCTTTGCACATTTCGTTATAATATTTGACTTTATCTTCTCGAACTGACCTTTGTAATCTTCTGTTCATCTCTTGTACCTCCTCACTTCTGTTTGCTTAAGCATCTCTACTCTGGAGAGCAAACTTCAGAGTCTCTTCTGATATCCATTTTGGTCTTTTCCTTTTTTCCTGTCTTTTAAATTACCTTTTTAATTACCTTTCTTCCTATATGATGTTCTTGATGTCATCCCACAACTCTTCTGATCTTCAGTCTTTAGTGTCTAATGCATTAAATCTGTTCTTCAGATGATGTCTAAATTCAGGTGGGACATATTCAAGGTCATTTTTTGGCTCTCATGGACTTGTTTTCATTTTGTTCAGCTTCAGTCTGAATTTGCACATGAGCAATTGATGTTCTGTTCCACCATCTGCTCTTGGCCTTGTTTTGGCTGATGAGATGGGACTTTTACATTGTCTCTTTCAACAGATGTAGTCAATTTGATTTCTGTTATTACATCTGGTGGGGCCCATGTGTATAGCCAAATTTTATGCTGTTTTTAAAAAGGTATTAGAATTGAACAAATTATTGGTTTTGCAAAATTCTATAATGCGACCTACAGCATTATTTCTATCACCAAGGCCATATTTTCCAACTTCTGATCCTTCCTCTTTGTCTCCAACTTTTGCATTCCAATTGACAGTAATGATCAATACATCTTGATTGCATGTTTGATCAATTTCAGATTGAAGAAATTGGTAGAATTCTTCTATTTTATCCTCACTGGCTTTAGTGGTTAGTGCATAAACTTGAGTATTAGTGGTATTAACTGATTTTCCTTATAGGCATATGGATATTTTCTTATCAAAAACAACATTGTGTTTTGTGACAGATGTTGATATGTTCTGTTTGATAATGAATGCAACACTTCTCTCTTCAATTTATCATTCCTGGCATAGTAAATCAGATTAAAAATGGTCAATACAAGTCCATTTCTACTTACTAAGGCCTAAGATTATGTGTTCCATTTCATTTTTGACAATTTCCAAGTTTCTTAAATTCATGTTTCATACATTACATATTCTGATTATTAATGGATATTTACTGCTGTTTCTGTTCATTTTGAGTTGTGCCCCATCAGCAAATGAAGGTCTCAATGGTTTTATTCCATTTATATCATCATGGTCAATTTATTTAACAATTTCAAGCCTCAGTTTTCACATCTGAAAAAGTGAGATTATATTTACAATCCACCTCATATGGCATGCATATATAGCATATAACAGAGCACCCAGCATAAATATAGTATGTAGGCTAGCTTTTATCAGCCTTAGCGAACTAAATATTAGGAAGGGAAGGAGCAAAGCAGGAGTGGAGAGAGAGAAACGAACCCTGGTTCTGCAATGGTTAATCTCTCAGTTTATAAAAAAAAAAAAAAGAGCAGTTTCTAAAAAATGAGAGACCTTGTGATCTGCTCTTGTAGAGATTATAATCTAGGAAGCTTGATGGGGTGGTTTTAATTGACAGCACTCACCAACAATTACTAAGGAGGGAGAAGAAGTCCCTGATGATGCAAAGAATTAAGTTC